CCAGGGCTATTTTTGGGCAGGAACGCACAGGAACGGAGTTCCGGCTGGCTCCCGAGTTGGCCACGCCCAGCAGGAACTCATTAGCATAATAGGCCACACCCAACAGCAGGAACTCATTAGGATTGGCTACATTAGGGGTGTGTGGCCTAACATGCAAAGGAGTTCCTGCTACCAAAAAAAGGCCCTGGGGTTTGACAACAAACAAGGTAAACAGAATAACAAGCAAAAGGTGGGTGTGGCTGGATGACCACACTTCTGGTAACATGGGGGTGCGGCCTAATGTGCTAATGAGCTGTGCTGTCAGGGTTGTGGCCTTATATGCTAATGAGTTTCTGCTGCTGGGTGTGGCCTATTATGCTAATGAGTTCCTGCTGGGCTTTTTCTACAAAAAGAGCCCTGGTTGGGGTCACCTAAATCTGGAAGTCAGCATATCTTCCATATCCTTTATGCTTCCTCCTGCATCTGTGAATGGCTGCCATTCATTCCTATGGGGAAAAAACCAAAGGGCTGCATTGAGGAAGAGCTTTGAATCAGGGACAAAAGTTACCCTCCATCTCGATACATAATGGGACACCTTGCAATGTGTGTGTGTGTGGGGGGGGAGACGCATCCTTCCAAAGGTAGCTGCAGAGTTATGGAGAAAGGGTGATAATGCATTCATGCAGCTTCCCCCTTCCCCCTTCCCCTCGAAGAAAAACAGGAGCTAGATTCAAGAATCAAGGAGGCAATGCATAGTGCTGCTTAACATCTTGGGCCCTGGGAGCAGCAACTGATTTAGAAGGGACAGGTACACAGGGCCAGGATTTGGCGGAGGGGGGCATATCCACAGGATGTTATTTTTCTTTCTTCCCTCCCCGGAGTGGACAAGTCTCCCATGCAAGTGTCTAAATATTCTGTCCAAACATTATTAATGGTTGCCCCACTGCCCTTTGGTGCAATTTACAGTTCAGTCCAAATCAGAATCTCACCCTTCTAAGCCTGCTGAGCCCAACGGTTCCAGGACGGTATAACTACTTCAGACTGCAATGCAAGATACAGGTCACAGGCTGGGTTTATGCAGAGGAACAGGGTCAATCCTCAATAGTTGGGGGTACTAGGGACAGATATCAGCTCTTGCTCCACTGTTGCCTTTGAGTAACCCTCCATCTTGCTTATATGTTAATGGCTACCATGGGGAATAGACACCCCAACAGACAGAGATATGGGGGAAGCACTGAATCTGTGGGGGCAAAATGCCTGGACAGACATATAGTGCATGTTAGCTCAAGAGATGTCCTTGCAGTAAGCAAGGCCCCCCCCCACCCCCGCTGCCTGCCCATCATAATGACTGGCATTTTGCTAGCTAATCATCATTACTGAGATTACAATCTAGAACACAGGCAGTCAATTTCTACACACTCAAGGCCTGCTATATTAAAAGGGAGAGATAAAGTGAATGTGTGCGACACCTGTCTGTTTCTTACAGTGCTACGATATGGTTGTGTGTGGTTTTTTTTTACTTTTGCAGGTGACATCACACATGAACTTCCCGTGGGACTACACGGGAAGGCCATTGGACGCTAAACAAAGGCCCCGGTCACACTGGGGAAAATAGGTGCGGCCAAAGTGCGGCTTTTTTGAGCCGCACCAAAAGAGACGCTCGGCGGCAGGATCAGACTGATCCCCCCAGCCGCTGCGCAAGTCCTCCCCGGCACGATCAGATGCAGGAGGAAGCCACGGACAGGAGAGCAAGGCCAGCCCACTGCGCATGCGTGTGCAGTTTGGCAGGACCTCGCATGCTGTGGGAGAGACGGGCGCGCCGGTGATCAGACGCCCGTCCCTGCAGCGGATTTTCAAGTAGGTAGTAGTGTTTTCAAGGTTTTTTTTAAAAAACATTGTTTTTATTGGTTTTTCCATTAACATATAATAACACAAATTTACAAACTCCACATTAATATATTTTAACAACAAATAATTCTCCTATGCCTAGTGTTCATTCCTAGTCTTATACAATTTAACTATCGCTTTAATCTCTAACCTTATTCTATTATGACTAGCTTAATTTATTTCTATCTTCTTTATCTTCAGCCAGCTGTATATTACTCCCCATCTTTCCCAGAAATTTTCTTCTGGCTTATTTTGTAACTCTATATTCACTCTGTCCATTTCCGCTATTTCCAACACCTTATACTTTAATTCCTTTATGGAAGGTAAGTTATTAGA